AGCTCGGCGGCACAGCCGCCGCTCAAGCGGCTTGCCCGTTACACATACAAAACGCCCCGTTCCCAACCTTACCAAAGACGAGCACGGCAGCAAGGCAGCCTACCGTTCTGCCTTAGCACTAGAAATTCTGACCCTGTCAAAATGTAACGTCGCGCTCAGGAGTCGGATATTGCTATTCATACAGTCATCATATATTAGCTCTTACAAATTAAGGGAGCAGGTTATCCACATCCATTTCCGACCCAGCATTGCCTAAGAGGGTCAGCAAACAGTTTCTTCATCTAAATAATGCTTTGAATTTTTGAAGGTCAATTCTCTCCCAGAACGTGCAAACTCGGTGGTAGAATATAGGATCGTGCTTCCGGAGTCGTTTTTGGCTGTTTATCGTTATAAAGAATCATTCTTGCAGGCATGTATGAGATGTCTCTGTTGCGCTCACATGCCGACCTAATGCGATTGCCTGATTCAAGAATAAATATCGAACGCAGCCGTCGCGAAGCAGCTGAGCAAGCAATACGATGACTGTTTCACAGCCACTGAATCCTTCGTGAACGGGGCACGCTGAGCTGCTGCCGTCGGAAAAGCCGTCGAGCAGAATGGACACGAATCAGGGTAGGCTGTAAGTTTCTCCTCGCCAGAATAATGCTTTGCATCGTTCGAACACCAGTTTTTACCCAGTTTATTCATACCCAATACTCGGAGCTTACATCATGTGCCTGGTAGCAGCTTTGTGCTGCTTGTACGTGGTTATAAACAATCATCCTTGCCGGTGTTTCTGACGAGGGCTTCCATCCTGCCTTCATAGCTCGACATAATTCGGCCGAAGATTGTGGATCAGACAATGCTTTGGCATCGTGGGTACCGGACGAGTAGGTATGCAAGAACCAAGTAGTAAGCAGCTGATTGGCAGGGCACAAGTCGAAACCTTAACTGGACCCGGCAGTGCGGCACTCGAATCCCCAAAACATACTCAAAAACAATGTCTGTTCCTACGAAAAGCGCCTATGCTTACAGCCGTGAGCTCCCCTTTTACGAATTTAACAACTCCAAATTCGACGACCTAAGAATTAAAACAAGAGTATACGTTCTACAGGTTTACGACACAATACAGCACTTAAACCCTAGCGGTCAGCGTGGGCTCAAGTATGTACGAATGGCTGTTAATAGCTATCAGGTGTCTTAATACAAGCGAATTCGATTCAAAATACTAATAGCACGAAAAGTATTCTATTCATAGACAAACAGACACATCTTTAACAAGAGCTGTGGCTTCTCTTAGTCCACCGAGTAAGCGAAGCTTCATAAATAGTATTAGGAAGATTTTATAGCGATCACGACGAGATAGATAAGGAACAAAGATAAAGAGGCGCTATTACAGTAAAGTAAGAAAAGTTTTATATTCTATAAATAGCTAGCGAAGAAAAAAAAAACAATATCTATAAAGAGAGGAAAAAGGGGGATTCATAGAACGGGAAGAGGTAGAAGGCATGGACGTGGACAGTACCCCTTTCGAAGAATAGGGAGCAGGCCTATCGTACCGCTTTCTCGACAAGGCCACAATGACTCAATTACCTTTACCAGAGCTCCTACAGTACCATAATTACTATAAGGCTTTTAAGGACACAGGCATTTATCAACACAACTTAAAAATATTCTTCTAGAGTTCTAATAAGTTTAACTTACAACTTCTTAAAGATCATAGAGCTCACTAGCACCTAGATAAGTTTATATACTATAGGAAAGATAAAAGGAAGCATTTTAAGAGGTTTACTAGTAGTTTATTTGTTACTATCACACTAATAATTAATAAATTTAAAGGACGTCATAAGGTAAGTCGTTTTTAAGCGTGACTACGTGTTAATAGTCATAGCAACTATGTACTATTAAATACTACGACTGCATTCATAATCAGCTCGGATCTCTCCAGCTCTATTCGCACCCAACGCGGGCAGGGCAGCGAAGAAATGCCTCGGTGGATACTATAAGGTGTACTACCACGTGGCTATGGCTCGAGCATCAATCGGGACATATAGCAACGCGTAGGGCGGCCGGCGCAGCGCGCTATATATCCTACAATGTCGGTCTGAGTAGCTATGTACGCCAATCGTTGAATACGCCACTAACGGTAGCGCTCCCGTGGGTCCCCACTAATCCCAGTATAAAGATTAGGTGATAAAGGTCGTAGGTCGTTGGCGCGACACGCGCGCGCTGGCCCCCCCCGAACAGTTGGACGCCAGTGTGATCCCGCTGACGGGCATCGATATAGGTTATTTAGCGTCACACTGCCAAATTTGTAGGATGATAATAGGGAGAGCTGCCAGATGTGAGATGCACAAAGTTTCGGCTTTTGCCAAAAGGGGAAACCCTGACGTCAACGTTAATACCATGGATCGCAGCATCGTCATTGCCTTTCTGCCCGCAGGAGTCTATAAAGCACCTCGGCTGCAATACAGCGAAGAGCCTGCTTGCCACTTCCATTCATCCGCGTTAGTCTTCCAGTGGGCATAGGTGGCGCCTCGGGAAGGGATCCGACGGCCAACCAACGGGACAAAGAATAGCCCGGTTAAATAAAGAACAAGAAAAGTATCTTGCAGAACGCGTTTGCCAGGCTGTACGGCAGCGAGATTAGTCGTCCGTCAGGGAATATGGGATGGGGGCGCAGAGAGGGAACAAGGGTGAGAGGCGGCGCAGCGGAAGGTGAAGCAGATTCAGGAGAGGAGAGAAGCGAACACGTATAGGTGTTATCCATCCATATCTGTTACGCAAATACTACACAAACCTTATAGAACGGTAGTGACATGCACAGAGTTTACCGTCATGACTGTGCATGGGCCGTGGTAAAGTTAGACTGTCGGCGGAAGAGCATCGGGAGCGGCAACGACAGCGCTCGCAGTGGCCGACGTCGCCGCCAACAACCACAGACCATTACAGAGGGCAGGGTCGGACCCTACTATTCGCATTCTAGAAATTCAAGAGGAAGAAAGGCAAGAAACCGGTGAGACAGAAGATGATGGGGCTGCGACATGGTCAATAAGGTTCAGGACTTCCTTCAAACTCTCGATAACAGTAGCTAAAGCTAGCGGCAGCTCGTTACAGACCGGTAGAGAAACAGTACAATGCGACTGCTCAATAAAAGACTACCTTGACACTTCCGACACCTTTCGCCGCAACACTCTGCGATGTCTGCAAAGCAGCACTGCTGACAAAATTACCCCCGCCTCCACCAGCCGAAGAAAATGCGAACCACCGAGCAAAATTAGGCTGCTTGAAGTAGAGCTGGCCGCCTGAACCCGCACCAAAGCGGCCTCCACCACCGCCTCCACCACCGTTCCGAAGGCCGTGATTGTTCACACCTGTGAGGCCGGCACCGCCATTTGTATTGATTCCGGCATTACCATTTGCGGCCGAAATGATGGGGGGACCCGAGGCCCATCCACCACCCGCGCCGGGTCCACTAGCAGAGCCTGGATCTCCACCGAAAGCTCGCGCGATAACACCGCCGTTACTCGCGAGAAGAGCTCTTCCACTTCCCTCCCGACCAGCATTAGGAGGACCGTCAAGGACGGTTGTTTCTACCAAGCCCACACCTTCCGCAAACTGGCTGGAAGTTCCTAGACCACCTCCTCCACCAGCAACGGCGATGAGATTCGATTGAGTGTTTATCATCAAAGCCGAAGCGCCACCACCTCCACCAGCGACGGTTGAAGCAGATCCGCCACGGCCGTATTGACTTTGCCCGGCGACACCACTAGCACCGGCACCACCTGCGATTGCAATGACAGTATTGCCAGGAGACACGGGCAGTCTGCCGACAATGGAACCGCCATATCCTCCGGATGCAAGTTCGTCGCCAACTGCCGCGGCTTCGCCGCCTGCCCCGCCCCCAGAACCACCCAAAACAGTGAAGGCAATGGCTGTAGCGCAGGGCGGGACGACCCAGCTCGTTGACCCACCATTTGTCCTGACGGCGGACAGAGTAGATGTAACAGGCCGAATAGTGCAAGATGTCGTGGTCGACCGCGGCGGGAAGGTCGTCACCGTGGTGGTGCACGGACGGACGCAGTCCACTGGAGGGGTGACCGTGACAGGCGGGCACGACGTGGCTGCCATACAGGTTCCTGGCACTGTGGTCGTCACGTCCGGCGGCACCG